TCAACTCGTCAAGTAGGATGAGCAACTGGTCTTCAATGATGACACCAAATGCAACGAGTTCTTCTCAGTTTATAGTGGCACAGTCAAGCACTTTGCAGCTGCCATACACAACTATAAACACGAGTCAAGATATCAACTCAACTGTGGTATCAGGTAGCGGGTCTTGTATTACAAACATATATGCTACGACAATTAACGAGACATTGCTGGCATAACAACTAATGAGGATGACATTTCTTTTTTCTCTTGTTTTTCTGCTCGATCTATCAGCCGTGGTGATTGTTAGGGGGGTCATATTGACCTGTAGTAATGAACGGCAAGTTATCGAGCTAGCTTATCTAACTCTCTCTAAGCTTTCTTTCTTGATCTTCAGCCGCGGTTATTACTGCTGGTGATGGGATATAATGGCTGCTTATCTCTAATTTTACCTTTTAACTATTCTCTTTCTTTCTTTCGTTCTTTCTTTATTTCTCTTCGAGTTCTTTCTGTTTCAACTAAAGCAAGCTGCTACTCCAACGCTTTTACCTTCTCAGACAGAACCGATAACCATGAAACAGTTTTATTTTACAAAAATCTTATTGAAAAAAAAACAAGATGACCAACGTGTGTTCGACAACTTGCAGGATACATGCATGTACAATCGACTGCTCACTGCATATTTTGGACATCTTGGAATTAATAACCAACTTTGGTAGCTTCTTTTGAAGACACCACCCCACCCACGTGACAGCCTAACTATGTGACCTCTACAGATGACGTCATCTCAAGGCTACAAAAGCGTATGGCCATACTTGAATGACGTCATCAGTACGAAGTTACCTAATTGATTCCTTCTTTCTTTTCAAGGTGTGTCAACGAGTAGTCCACTCTTCTCGACGTCAGTTCTTCCAAGTTCAACGAATGACACTATGACAAAGGTTTCACCAAGCAGCGTCGTCTTGGAAACACAGACACCTTATCCCACTGTGACACCAAGCAATGCGTCCACGGTCCCACTGTCGTCAGGTCTCCCAACTTTCTTAAATACCAGTTCCTTAGTTGTATCTTCAAGTAGCGTCATCATGGAAACAGCAAGCACGGTCGTCCTAGAAACAAGGACACCTTATCCCACGGTGACACCAAGTAACACGTCCACGGTACCACTGTCTTCACGTCCGACTCCTGTGTTATCCACAAGTCTTCCAGTTGTCACATCGTCTGTTAATGTGTCTCCGGGATTCAGCTCGTCTACAAACTACACCAGTGATATCTTGAATGTAACCATGACCACGTCACTGGTTGATGAGACGCCCTCATCAAATGCATCAAGTCAGGTCCTGACGACGGCCACTGTTAATAGCTCTAGTCCTATAGTGTTGCCTTCAAGTGTATCTCCAACATCAACTGCCTTGCTTACCACTAGCTTGTCTAGTAAGGTTATACCAACAAGAAGCATCACCATCAACACCACAGTTATTACAAATACAAGTGTATACTTAGAATTGTCGACCCTGACGTCAGTGCCCAGTGTTAATGTCACTACCCAAGTTGTAACTCCAACCACGTTCATTTCACCTTCGTCTTCAAGTCTCCTGGAAAAAACTACGACGGTTCTTATAAGAAACAGTACGACGCCATATTTTACTACGACAACATTTTCGGTGTCATCTTTGCAGCCATTGACAAGTACTTCTGTTTTGGCAAGTAGTACGCAAGTTGCAACAACGGCATTGCAAACCTCAAGGGTTATTAACTCGTCTGCTATCTTCAGTACGTCCGTGATATCGAGTACAATGAGCTCTTCCTTTATCCCGTCGTCAGCTACGAGCCTTCCATTCTCGACAAGTCTTGTTATAAGTGGAATATCAACGGTTTTAGCTCCTTCAAGTTCTTGGATGGAAAATAGCACCGTCGTTACACCATTTACCTCGGATTCACCACAAACAAGTGAGTTCATCATTTTTGGTTTTTCATTCATTCAATTTATTCTGACAGGATGTGATGGCAAGTATCTTACTTCGCACTATTACACCATCAACTTAAGACATTTTGATGGGACCAAACTCGACAATCGAATTTGACAAAAGTGTACTTTTACTGGTACGAGTAAGTTTGACAGCTCTCGACACAGTAAAAGCACAATCATCTCGACAATATCCATACGTGTTTCTTTACCTCCTTTTTTTACTAACTAAATCATCATCACTTCGCGTCACATTAATTAGGTATTGATTACTTTAGCTTACTGGTTTGAGTTTGCCAGTTCTGTGATTCAAATACCTGCATTCTTAAGTCAAGATACGTACACCATTACCGTCATCCACATAAATGTTGCTTCACTACATACTATACTTAGCTTTGCCTTCTCTTTCAAAACGTCAATGAAGTTGCAGAAGTCTGTTGCATTGCTTTCTTCTTCTCTTTTCTTTTCTTTTAGATATATCTTTCAAATTACTGAGCCAAAGTATTCTCCCTTTGCTCCATTCACATCTCTCAAAAACAAACAAACAAAAAGATCTAGGCGTCTTGTTTCTCTCCGATATCAACATCATCTCTTACGTGAGCGTCACGACACATACATTATCTCTTCATGATCCAATCCATGTCATCCACTATACTATACATCTACGTTCTCCTGTAAGAGTAAACCACTGTGCTGAGACGGTCATTCTTTCATCATTACTTAGACCAGTAAAAGTAACACTGTCATTACTAACACCATACATGTTGATAACAAGGCCATCAATCACTCTTGCCATACTAACACCATTAGTTCATCAATTGTTATTTTCATCTTCTTCACTAGGTTCATCTTCCATCAGTTCCATCGTCCTCTCGTCTATTGAGGTATCAACAGTGTTGCAGACATCACAGATCCTCTCTTCTTCCGTCCAACCACTGCCAACCAATGTTACACCAAATAACCCTCCTCAGTTATACAATGAAATAGGACGTCTGACTGCAACAGCCGGGAAAGTATTCAGATACCAAATACCTGAAGATGTGTTCCATGATGAAGACGGTTACACCAGGAAGCTCACTCTAACTCTCAAACGCTTTAACGAGGAATTTATTGCAGAAGAACTTCGTAATGATTCTTGGTTGGCGTTCAGTGCTGATAAACAAGAAATGTATGGATTGCCAATGGAGAAAGACGTCCCAAGCGATCCAGAAAGAGGGGTAAAGTTTCTGCTTGAGGCAACAGACAGTGCAGGGCTGATAGGATACGATGCGTTTGAAATCCTGATCAGGATATCAAGCATCTCGTACACACAATCGCTCTCTATGAGGCTGGACAACGATTTCAATGCATTTGAACGTAATATTTCTCAGAGACTCGATCTTATTAGTAGAATTAGTGGATACTATGGTGATTCTGATACGAGTCAAGTCAGAGTGTTGTCCTATAGTCAAGGATCGATTCTTTTTTCATGGACGAATGATTCCCTCCCGAGCGACGTGTGCAACACAACCCAATTCAACTATGTTGCAGAGAGGGTGGTCGGGAGTGATGGCGTTAATCTAGCATTCAAAGAGCATTTATTCCCTGAATACGACGTTATAAACGCAAACCGTACTCTGAGTGGAGTGTGCAATGCAACTACATTAGCACCCCCGGTTGTACCGGATAAAGTAGTTGGCACTGAACCTTCGGGTTTATGGGAGAAGCATGTTCTACCGGGGATCATTGTAGCGATTATTCTCATCATCATAGCCGTGTTACTTCTACTGTTGTTTCTACGGCGAAGACGAGSCAACCCAGCGGACCCAGAAAAACGAACCTACAAGAAGCGCAAGCCGATCATCCTTGAACCGGAAATGGAAATGAAACCTCGATCTGGGAAACCGCTGATCTTAGAGAACGACGAGCTCAGCCATCCGCCGTCATATATGTCTGAGATGTCCCTGGATAACACACTGTATTACGACAGCGATGATTACGATCAAGAGGATTACAAACCAAGTGCGTCACGATCGTCACCTGTGTACGAGACACCGCCCCCCGAGTACAATGTACCTCAAGAACCGCTCAAACAGCCTCCCCCTGCTTACAGACTACCACCTACGTTCTACTCGTATACGCTACCACCATTGGAGACAAGTAGTGATSTGTGATATACGGGATTTGTACACCGGCATATGGCTGCATATGATAAAGTTATTTTGCTGTAACGTTTTGGAGTGGTCTTACTCCCCCTAAAATAATAGTAATGTCAAACACTTATCTTGCTTCCTTTCCGAGTGTTGACATACAGTTTCAGAGGGAAATAAAATCACTCTAATACTTCGCTTATTTTTGTTAATAACAGAAACAAATGATTATTTATATTAATATTACAAGCGCATGGCAAGCGGGTTCAGTTTGTTAGCTATGAACAGTCCCGTATCTACACCTGTTCCCCGGTTCCATGCGCTAACCGATTTTACTATGATTTAGCGGGTTACTTTTATTTTTATATTTTTAAGGGTAATTCCTCGGAAAATTTATTTCTGAAAACATCGTTTTTGATTATATCTCAAGGATGTTTATACTTTTTTATTCTTACGCGATCTATGCAGTTCTAATCGTGATGGTCTTGCTTCTGTATTGACTTGAATTCGTTGTTTATAACTCGAAGAATTAGCCCAAAGAATCGAGTGCCTGGGTCGTAAAGCAAGGAAAATACGGTTTTTTTTTAAGAAATGAAAAATTGGTTTTAATAAATCTATTAGTAGAGTAATTTTATTGAACGCCTGGAAAAAGAACATTTAGAAGTAGTGTCTACTGATGCGTAGTAGACTAATATAGATTTTACGGATTAAAGTGCTTATAAGCCTTTACACAATATTTTCAGAATTGATTCTTTAGATAKTGGATAGTTGATTGTGAAAATATTTCGTCATTTGAATGTTGGGTCTTTAAGATACCAAGGTTTATATTCCCAGTATGTTGATTATTATGACGTAACATAAGGGATCATTTAATATACAACACTGCACTCGTTCTGGAATGCAGTATTTTAAAAGCATCACCCTTTTACTCGTGACTCACGTAAAGGTTCTTACAAATTTGTTTTCAAAAAACGTCCAGCGTTCAATCTTAAAAATTGCCACAAAATAACTCRAATCCCTTATGTTACGTCATAGTCATTAACATATTGGAAATATAAACCATCGTATCTTAAAGACCCAACATTCAAATGGCGAAATATTTTCACAATCAACTATCCACTATCTAAAGAATCAATTCTGAAAATATTGTGTAAAGGCTTATAAGCACTTTAGGCGAAATTGGGAAAACACTGCCGTCAATCAAATAAATTGCCCTATTTCATAATGACGTCACATCAAAACAAACTATTGTTTTAACGCTAGGGATCATGGTCGCTGGAGGGAGATGGAATGACAACAACACATCTTAAATCACAATGAAATTTGGTTTATGAGCTGGTGAAGGCAAGAACAGCTAAATATTACGCTAAATATCGCGAAAGAAGAGAATTAAGCTTAAATTTAGCCTAGATTTCTATCATTTTAGCTGATGTAAACAAACCGTGACGTCATTATGAAATAGGGCAAGTGTTCGTACCTTTACATAGTGTATTTCCGCCATTTCCCTGTCGTGACTGTTGTCGCAATCAGTGCACAGCAGTGATAAGTGGTAAAGCAGGGTGCAGCCCCGTGTTGCAATATGGATATGGCTTCCACCCGTTAAAGAAAACAGTCAAGTTCAAGATGTTTTTCAMACCATCATTATTATACGATTTTAGAATCAAATATATATAATGTATATAGTTTTGAGAGCTTAACTTTGTGAATCCTAGGAAATAGTCCAATTAAGAAATAGTATAAAATAGTTAAACAATGAAGAGTGTTGCGTTACTTTCTCCAAGGGCGTTATGTATTGGGGTTTAGTTCCAATTACCCCTCCCTCCCGTCCCTTGTGAACGTCAACTTGTGAACGTCATTGCAATACGTATATTAATATTTGTACCTACCCCTCCCCCCGAAGGGGAGGATGTCCAACTTCCTTTTGGCCAACCAAAGGAATTTCCATTTGAATATTTACGCCCTGAAAGACAACTGATGCATGGTTAGCAACCTATAGCCCCCTCCTGGGATATTACATTCGAATCCAATCCCCCTCGGCAAAACTAACCAAAACACACCAGCAGCATTGCTGTGCGGATAGCGACACGGAAAATAGAGGGTTAGTTTGCAGTCTATTGGCAACCATTCTCAAGAGGGTTGTCCTATGACAAATACATGGCAGCCATGTCGTTTATGTCATATAGCACCAACATGTCCGCGACGACATAGAATACAAAAGGAGAATTAATTTACCTCAAAAGATTCTCCAATAGTCTTCCACTTGAACCATGAGGATTTCCAGTTTTTTTACCATCTACGCTCAAATCAAACGAGAAGGGTTTTGAGACCACAGTTTGTCGTGTATGTCAGAGGTGAGAAGCGAATGCACAACCACTTTGCCACACGTGATTCTCAAATTAACAAATGAATGAATGTACCTATATTAAAAYTGGACCCCTTTAGGACCTTGTTTTACAGCAAATACAGTGTTACCTCAATGAAGTAGACACCTTCTGGACCTTGCCTGGTATATGCCGTAAAAGAGTGCGATGAATAGAGGTGTTTTACAGTAAATATAAGAAAGTTTTGGGGACCGTGCAAATAGCTGTCCGCTTATTAAAGGGTCCGCTTAACAGAGGTATCACTATCTTTGTAATCTCATATATTTGATGACTAATTCATTTATTAAAAACTGAAAAAAATCAGCGTGTAAAAAATGTTTATTCAAATGTAAACRCAGATATTAAAATATAATTTCTCTTTATGACAACTTTAGATATGTACAATACCTTTTTCAACGTAGAAACATTTTGTACAAAATAGGGAGCATTTTCGTAAAAAAAATCTTTTTTATATCGGAAATTTTGAAAACTATTAATACCTAGTGAGTCTGTAATTAACTAACGACTCCAGTGTTGGCCGTGAAATACTTTACCAATCATATTTATAATCATAACTTTTTTAATTTTTAGGAAATTAAGTAAATAAATTGATTAATAATTAATTAATTATTAATAATTATTAAAGGTGTAAACAGTAGGTAGATGGCACATTTATTTTGAAAGGATCAAGATTTTTTAAATTTTAAAAGGTCCCAAAACGTGCCCTGTGGCACACCATACAAATTTAGAGTGGATGAAAGTTGTTTTGTATTCCTGTACGAAGGGTTGTCGAGGTTGTCTGGTCTTGTCCGTGTAATCAAGAATAGTGGTCGTTCAGCTAAACGCTGTGAAGTAAAATAAAAACGTACTTAGTACAAGGACGAATCTTCCATGTGGAAATCGTTTATTACTTGTAACGTTTACACAAAAATAGCATACGAAATATGAAAAATATCTCAAAATTTATACACTTCGTATAAAAACGAAAAGTTAAATAATCAGTCAGAACCTTTAACTTTATCTTCAACTTTATCAAACCATAAACCAACCCCTGGACTGATCTAAGTCATAGCTCGACTAATTCATAACACAGCACTAGAATCGTAGAAGCGACAAACTACCCTACCCGACACTAGAGAAAACCGTTTGCGCATRCGTGCATTTCAGCATGTTTTCTCAATCTCGTACCAAGAGCCTGCGTTTCTTCTGGCCTGCGGCGAAGAACGARGGCTCTGGCATTCTCAACTTTTACATTCCCATAATACTTTGCGCCTTTGGGGGTAACCAGAGGGTAAAAACCCACTTCTTTTGCTGAAGGCTGATCAGACAATGTTGACAATACCTTGTTTGGTATCCAAAAATAAAATGAAGAAGTAAAAAACAGAAAAAGATAGAAGCTTGAAGACGTTTAAGGTACATTTAAACATTTTTTCGTAAGTCAATACATTTTCTGTAATACCAAAACTCTTGATGATCTGTACACGCAAAAATAACTTGGAATAAACTGATAATCAGTATTGTATAAAAGCAGGTATAGTATAAATTCAATTAAGAAACCTTTCAATTTGGGACAGTTTAAAGCATGGACACTAAGTTTTGGCATTCGTGAAGTCAAATTTATCAGGCATGTTTGAAAATCAAATTTACATGTTTTGACTACTTTGCATACGGATTCAAAGCATGCGCAGACGGTTCACCCTACCCATGATCCACAGATGTTTTCCTACACTCTGACAGTGTTGAACACCAGTCAATCCCTCCTTAACAAGGGATCAGAATATCGAAAGGGTGTTCTTGGAATACCTAAATAAGGGACGGACCATTAGATTTTTGGGGGGGGGGGGGGGGGGGGTTGGGCAATTTAATTTGTGCAGGATTTTTTTTTTACGCCTAAGGGCTGGGCAGGAAATTTTACATAATTTGGAAATTTTGTTGGGCACTTTCTTATGCACGGTCTTTTTATTTCATTCTTTAAAGTTGTRCTTGAAATTTTTTTTGGTCTTTGCCCAACCCCCTCCCCCCTTAAAAATCTAATGGTCCGTCCCTAAATTCCCTGTGTTAATGTAATAGCTAGTATTAATGATAAAAAGTTTTCTAAAAACAAAGCTTATTAATGCGCTCTTTGATCAGTGTTCAGAGGAGAATATCTAGTAGCAGGAGATTTCCTATCCTGACAGTGTGGACTTCCGAGAGATTTTATAGTTTCCACTCGAATCGAGTTTTTCTGTTTCAACTTACTGCTTTGTATCGTTCCCTTGCAGTTGATGTTGCTGTTATGCCTGTCGTTACCATGGTAACTATTACRTTTCTCATACAGTGCTTTAGGGTTCTGTGCTTCCTTTAAGTCAGGCAAACCGTTTTTATCCAAGGTTTTCGTGGTGTCATATGTTTGATGGTTGTCAGTCCATCTTGGCATCACCCTCTCATTGCGTACTCCAAGGTGTGGTTCGTGACTTCTGGATCTCCCATACTTTCGTTGCTTAGCAACGTTATTTTGGATCCCAACACAGTCCTCCTTGGCCTTGTTATCTACTCCTTTGGCCCCCATGTTGTTCATTAGATTTGTTTTGACATTATTTATGGATGATAGAATTTCAAGTCTCTTTTCTTTCATGTTGCTGTCGTCCCTGTAGTTGGTAGATCGAGAGACCATGTTATGAGATAATGACCTGGACAGGTGATTGCGTTGGCGATGCCCTTCATGTGAACGCTTCAAGGACTCAGTTGAAATATGAGTTGTTGTAACAGGYATACTTGATGGTTCAATTGATTCATCATCTAGCAGTACAAACACAAAACCATGAGTGTGTAATCTAAGAGCAATATGGATGAGCATTGTTGAATAACTTATTACCTTCAGGAGAGTCTATTGTATCGTACTGTATGGTATCTTGCCTGGTGCCTTCTGCTGTGTACTCAGATCCATCTTTTGTATATTTACTCGCTGACAGTAGCTGCTGTGTCTTTGCCTCTCTAGGAAACAAGACAAGATGATGACGATGATACATCATGATGATGATATATGACTATGATAAATGATGATGATACATGATGACGATACATGGTGATACATGATGATGATACATGATGATGATACATGATGATAAATGATGATGATACATGATGATTATACATGATGATGACGATACATGATGATGATTATACATGATGGTGACGATACATGAAGATAATATAAGATAATCCACCTACCCAGCAAACAGATGAAGCCATTCCTTCACATCCATAAAGCCAATCTACAAGAAGGAAATATATTCAACATTCACTTTTGTAGCCACCTACTGTGGTGATAGATAATGCCACTTGGCATAGCCACATTACGAAAACCAYTGCATTTATTGAAACAGTCACAGCTAATATTACTGCACCATTAACAATAGTGAGATTGGCACAGCCCAAGTGCCATACCTCTAATTGTGCTTGATCACACGAGGTATGGTCTGGTCTAGAGAAACTAATACTCACCCCTCTATTAAAAAACCAAGACACTTCTACAGTCTGTTTATTTAAATCTGCAACAAAAATACAGTGGCAYATAAGGGATAAGGTCCAAATAATTGTCATTTTGAGGGAAGGGGTGGGGTTATCCGGTACCCACCACCTCTGGAAGTGAAATTCCGGACTGATTAAGTAATCAACATCTCCAGATATAAAAGCGAAATCGTTGAATTGAATTTACTTTCTGTRTGTATGCTGAACAATATAGAAAGAGAATTGTCACTAGAAACACCCAGTATCGAGCATACGACTTTTCTGAGTTCAATGAACAGGATGCATTGTGGTCTAAATTTGATACAAGCAACACATATGAAGTATGACTAACAAAAGATGTTTGTACCGAAGCTAGACCACAATGTGCCATGCTCGGTATCTCAGAAAATGTCTATTGCTACAGGTTTCTGGAGGGGGAGGGGGATGGGGGGTATTTATCTATTAATGTACCCACCACCTAAATCAAAAAAATCAACTTATTATTTAGGGCAATAGACTGTTTTCTCAAGGATGCGTGCGCATTCAATTTGACGGGCCACAAAACTGAAAAAACGCAAATTCAGTAAATTGAGAAGACAGGTTAATATTTAAAGAGGAGAATAATTGATTTTATAAATTCATATTGAAAATGTTTTCATATCAATGGCAAGTTCCTTAAATTTGGATGCGTACGCAACCTTGAAAAAACGGTCTATTGTCGTGTCTTGTCCCTAACGATGGGATTATTTTAGGAACGATCCCTTTAATCAAAGCTGACTGCACTGTGGTTAGTCAAGCAAGTGATGGTACACTGATTTACTCATTTGTAATCTTGATACTCTATTACTAATGCATTACGATTCAATGGTTTTGGCAATGTACCTGACAGAAGAATGAAGTGTCTGTATGTTGGCATCAATTCTAGCTGCTGTTTAAGCGCCGTGTCCAAGTATCTTTGCACAGGTGACAAGTTCTCAAGCACATAATCCTGGAAGACAAAACAAGAGGTATTTATGTTAGATGTTGAAGAATCTGGTATGGAAAACTACCAAAGTGCAAAATATCATGGAATTGCGTGGTTATGATACGAAATAAACAACATCAATTATTATCAAATGCAGGGCACAGCTAACTCATGAATTGGAATTTAGCTGATTAGGATTTGCGGAGTAAGGAACTGAGATGCCAAGTCCAAGTGCTAACCTGAGACCCCAGAGGCRAGAAGCAAGTCACTATTGCTACGCCACTAGTTGATTACCAAAATCATAGCGAATGATATCCCTACTTATCCATGTTTGCTTGGACAAACCACCAGCATGGTCACAGTACATTCAAGTTTAATATAATAATCATAAAATCTGTTCAGGAGTATAATATTACCTTGTTAATAATGTTGACAAATCTTTCKTTCCTGTATTTCCTCAGAAGGTCAAGAACAAATGCGTCTCTCCATGTCAAAGGCCTTAACAGGAAAAAAAGGTCTTTTGTTAGTTGAAAGTGTGCCTAGTGAATGCAGGTTGGCAAGGGAAAATGGGTGCTTATACCAAAATCCCTTGCAAGTACATGATATTTTCACCCCTACCATCTTGTTTGGAACCCGAAAAGCTAGCTAAAGTAAGAAATTGGAATCAGTGACCAAGGTAAGGCTATTGAGATTACAGGAGATGAAACCCAGGAGATGAAACCCAGGAGATTGGGCATCAGTATGTCATGCTCAAGCACGTGCAATGATTTCCCATTTTGAACCACGTCCTTCCCTTGAGAATAAGATCCTCTCCTTGATTCCTATCCATGTGTATTCATTTAGTTACCTTTGAGATCCTAGTTTCTTGTAAGCTATGTAGCGAATATTCATCACCCAGTAGAACTTTTGATGCATGGCATTCTCTTCCGCCATAAAACGAAGCAATGCCTCAAGTAAAGCTGAGAGAAAGAAACAAAAACTGGAGGATTGAATCTATGGGATAAGTTGAAAAGAATTGGAGAAAAGAGTATTCACAGGAATCAAGAATGAGTAGACCCCACTCTCTTATTTCTAGCTGTTTTGAGATTGGGTATAGTACTACAACAGGCGGAGCAATTATAGAATACCCCGCAAATGATATGCAGTTGTCGGAACTCTCTGAAGAACGACACATATAACAATAGAAGTCATGGTCATTAAGTATGTGCATACGATTTGCGGGGTATTCTATAAATACACCCAACAGGCCAAATTGCTGCAGAAATTGGAAAAAATAATCAGAAACAACAAAATCATACCTGGATCAACAGTCCTTAGGATGGCATCATCAGGAATCAGAACACCACCGTACTGGAATATAGCAGCGTATGCTCTTGTCTTCTTACTTACATCTAAAAAACAAATGCAAGGAGTAACACACTGTAGGGCAAAACGACCCTGACAAAAGGCATTTGACCAACAATTATCCGATATTTGTAGGCAGAATGTTGGCATGTTGTTGKGTCTTCAAAAGTCTTCATGACAACCAAGCCCAACATTTGACCCAACAATATCAAGCCATTTTTTAGAGCCCTAAGACAGCTGGCTGGCTGTATGTATGAGAGATGGAAAGGAATATTGGTGACTAAGGACAAGGTCACCAAGATAAATYGAGTAACAGAATACACGGCCTTGAACTTCACCCGGTGTTTCTTCCCATAATTCTGTTTACCCCTTTTATAGTCCCTCTGCACTATCAATGAATTATTGTGCTACAATCCTTCTCACACTTTGCAGTTTTCTCATTCCCTTGTGAAAATTTTCCCATTTAAGTTATAGTGTTCTCCTTCACTGATAATAGACCCACCTTCAACAGTATTGAACAAAGCAAACTTGACTGTTGAACGGAGCTTCATCTTGACAAGGTTACTGATACTTTAACGGATGGAAAAAAGAAGAGAATGTGAGCTCTTTATTATATTTTACATTATGATACTACTCCCCAAGGAAAAGGGAGGATGGGGCCAAAGCCAGGAACACAAGCAATATTGTAACAATGATAGCAAAGCTGGCAATGTAGCCAAGCRCCAGCTAGAGAGCATGCCCAATTGAGAGCTATTATACTGCTGACCAGACTCTGCTACAACTTAACTTGTAAATAACTACATAAAAATTCCACACTCATTAATTAGCTCTAGTACATTTAATACTCTAAGCACACAACTCTCAGCTTGCATTTTGATTTTTGGGGAGGGAGGAAGACTGGAGAACCCAGAGAAAAAATCCTTGTGGCAAGGGAAAGAATGGCAAACAAACTCTAAAGGCCAATCTTTATTTACGTTTTTTCCTCATTAGCATAAAAAGGATTTCAAGCTACAAGCAAACCAAGAATGTCTTATTTAGTAACTACTGAAAATTTGAGAGTTATAGGTTTAATATTTTGGGAGTAAAAGTTTTTTTGAAAACACTATGAATTACAAAGAAAAGTATGTTCATAATGCTTTCAAAAAAATTAATACCCAAAATATTGAACATAAARACGTAAATAAAGATCAGCCTATTGACATATTGTGGCATCCATAAGGACTGGACCCACGCCCAACCTGTAGGACTAATGGGAAATACACCACCCAGTCATCAAAATAGTTATCTTATGAACCCGGACTAACCGGTGTATGGATGGTCTGTGCTTTCTGCGTACAAGAACTCTTAATTCTCCCGTCATGGTCTTTAGATTGTTTTCATCGCTGACATCAAGGAACTGTGCACCTGTCTTGAGCATATAATGCTGAGGATATGAAGAAATAACTGTCAATGACGAGATTATCCTTATCTCAAACAATAGTATCCCAAAGAAACAAAGAATGTTATTACCAAGAGATTTGAAGGGTAAACATTTACAACCAACTAATGGGTGTTATTAAATTAATATCTACTGTGTGGATTCAATCACACTAAAAGGGTTACCCTGCGAAAATATAGGTTATTAATATATATAATTGGAAGGGCAAGATAGTAACAACAGAGTTTTTTGTAGTAAATAGATCAGCTTATTGTAATAGACCATTTTCGAATTCCAAATTACCACTGTGTTCCTTGATTACAGACTCATTTGCACAGGGTTAGCCTCATATCAGTGTTTAAATATTCACGAGTACCAACGGTAAAGTGAAGAATGAACAGCTTCAACAATATGAACACTTTGAAACTTGACGGACCTTGACTGGAACACGTGAATATTCTTCACAAAATCGAGGCTAAGCCTGAGTAAATGAGTCTGTAATCAAGAAACACAGCGGTAATTTGTCTATTTCGGTCTATTTGGTCTATTTCGTCCTTAAAACAATCCCAGAGTGCACTGCAATGCCTACTCGGATTAGTTTTTTCTCAACCTCAGAATGGCTAATAGTGATTTTGAGCTGTGTCGTATCACAGCAGTAATTTGGAACTCGAATGTGGTCTATTAACACCTCCCCTCCCCTTTCTTTCCCAACTACCTTTACCTTAACTGCTTCACATTCTGGATCGCTATCAGGATTGTACACATAAAAGCATGATTGTTTTTTCTCGATTGGTTTGACTATTTTCTTGTGATCTGAAATGAGTGAGAATAAAGTCATCAAGGTCTACGATTCAGATAAATGGATAATTATGATGATGATGATCATACATCCAGATTCATGTTGTTGATGCATTTTTTTTATCATGATGATACATGATGATGATGATACATGATGAT